GCGCCGCCGCGCAGGGCCCCGCGTGCCTGGAGCTCGCCCAGGCGTGACAACGGGCTGCTGGGACTGCAGCCCCGTCCTGGGCAACCCCCAGCCCCGAAGGCACAGGCACTAATAAAACATGCTGGCGAGGAAACGTTTGACCCTTTAACGCTTGCAGCGGCCCTCAGAGCGACCCAAAGCCAGAGGGGCAGAAAGGAGACTTTCCGCACCAAAGAGGCACAGCGCAAAGCCAGCTGCCTCTCGAGAAGGGCCCTGCTGCCCGCACGTCGCCGAAGCCACTTCAACGCCTTCCGCTGAAAAGGTCAGTGTGGGAACGACAGAAAAAATCTCAACTCAAAAAAAGGACTCCCAGAGGAAACACATTTCAAAAGGAAACCGATTCTGGCTGAGAAAATACTGACATGTGGGTTATAGCTGAGATGGTTTCTATTCTATTTATTTCGCCCTGCCACGCTGCTCTACTGCCACTGGCGTGTCACAAGATAACATGACAAATGGCCTGCAAGTCTCCTTCTTTTACTCTCCATTTTACATTCATTGAGGGCAGTACTAACTATACGTGTGCGTGTGTGTATATATATGTACAAACACACACATATAAATATATATGTATATGTATATACACACACCCAAGTACACAGTCTTCAATGCCACAGCCCAGCTCCATGTGTCATCCTGACCCCTTCAGGAGACATTTCGATAAGCTGGTTTACTTAGGGCCAAGGAGCAGCTGCTTTTAATCATTTCCCCAAAAAAAAAAATAGTGGGACAAATAACTAAACTGCTTTGTCCTATTATGTCATGAAATCATGTGAAAAGTATAAAAACAGGGGAGGAAAGGAAATTGAGAAGGAAATTTCAAAACTATTTGTTACCATTCCAGACTGGGAGAAAAAACACAAATCTGATTTTTTGTCTGCAAAACAGAAACACGGTGTTCTGGGCAGCCAAAGGACTTGTGTCCTTGGCAGGGGTCCGGGATGGTGACCCCGGCTGGAGCCGGAGGCTCCCCCGGAGGTGGCACAGAGCCGTGGTGCTGGGCACTCAGGGTACCCCACTAATGGATGTGCTAGCGGGGTGCGACAGCTTTGAGACTGTCTGATTGGGACAAAAAAAACCCACTTGGCAGAAAAAACAACCTGACGCAAGGCCCGCCACAGCTGGCGTTTAGCCAACGCTGTCCCCCGACCTGGCTCTCGGTGCCTGTGGCCATCTGAGCCGGCACAGCAGGGAGAGGTCATGGGGAAAGCAGGGGTAGAAAAAACATGGAGAGGGAACAGGCTCCCAAATTTAGGGAATCCCTTGTAATGCCAGCTAGGGGAAAGCATGCGTGGGGCTGCTTGCCAACGGCAAGGCTCCCGCTGCCACCTCTGCGCACCTGGGGCTGAGGAATCGAGTCACAGAGGCAGCGAGGGACACGTCTGGCTTCTCATACGCCCTCCCCACCGCCGGGGAAAGCCCCCGGGGCCCCGGGGCCCCCCCTGCAGCCACTCAGACGGGCCGTTGTTGAGCGCCGTCCAGGCGTTGGTTTTGCCCGTCTTGTCCAGGCGAGCGTAGTGGGGGTGCCAGGTAAAGGCGTCAATGCCCCAGGTCTTGAAGACGCTGGAGGCCGTGATCTGCTGGTCAGAGATCAGGCGGGATTTCATGCCCAGAGGCTCCGAGCAACCTGCCGTGTTGAAATACACTGTAACACAACGGTTTATACACACAGTGAAAGGGAAA